TTATGTTTTTGGCAAGTGACTATATTGATGAAATACAGCAGTAAGACTGCGTACATCTTTACCTCCAAGATCTCAGTTGGAAATATATATTGGATATGTTGTTGTTGTTGTGGTATTGATGAAAGTTTTAACATGGATGACTAGGGCATTTCCGGGTCGAAAAGAAGTCTATATTATATATATATAAGGCTTAATTAAGAACATCAACCATGTTAATAATGTACATATGAAGCAGATTGCTTTGTGCCTTATGATTTGTCTAGATCGAAAACTCCATAGACCTAACTTAATTAATTGATGTAGCGTACATTTAGTTACGGTAGAGGGAATAACTTCTTGTGAGGTCTTTTTTCATGAAATGTTTATCATAAGACATTGCTACGCGGGTGAGATTCATTACGGTGGAAAGAATTTCGCCGCGAGTCTGAATTTGACTGTATGGAGTTCTTAATAAAGCTCCAAAAAATACCTCTTCTATAAGTCCTGTTTTGTAGGCTCGATCCTATATGAATCCCATGCCATTTCGAATAAGTTTATTTGGGTGAATTTGGACAAATTTTTATTTAGTAGGAATGCATCGCTGCCAAAATCACCATTCCCTGCCTTTTGCGGACATGAGGAAACTGGGAAGTGGAAAAAAAAACAAAAACAAAAACTTCAAATTTCAAAGCTCAATCAAACGTAAACATTACATTACACTAACCATATTACAACTCCGTACGTCTCAAAAAAATAATCCACATTAAGTTTTTGAGATTTGTATTTTTAGCAGTACAAATTTTAAAACTCAATGTGAACTATTTTTAATTGTTTTTTGGAGCAGATGCAATATAAGATTACACGATTGAACAACAAGAGAGACAACAACTGAAATGATCCAAAATTTCCATCTTGTCAAATCGGGAGTACATGCCTCTGGTTGACGAAGTTCATATCTGCCATAAAACTTCTCAGGATCTCAAAACCTTCACCCCTGAACATTCTTCTAATTCTCCCATCAAACACATGAATTAACAAATGATCACCAACTAAAAGTGCTGCATGAAGAACATAAATGGCAGGCCTAGCTGAATCAGGGAACAAAAGTGAAGCCAAAGAAGCCAGAGTCATGTAACCAAAAAACAGGGCACAGAAGTGACACCACTGACGAAGTAGACTCAAATGGCGACCCGAAAACGAACCACGGCGACCGAGACGGAGTCTTTGACGAAAATCATTAGCCAAACAGTAGAGAATCAAACCGAGAACCGATAGACGGGCAGTTTTCGGGTGAGTGTCGAATGGGGATTTAGCCTGGTTTTGGCATTTGAGGACGAGGAAGTTAAGCAAATTGGGAATGAGAAAGGAGAAAATGTTGTACTGAGGGAAATGCTCTGTCATCCGAATATCTGCTCCCAATAAGTAAAAATTGTTGCAGAACATATTGTGGAATGAGAAATTAAAGTGATTTGAAAACCTTCTGAATGAGGAAGAATTGGAGAAGAGACTTCTTCTTAGATGATCAGCCATTTTTGAGAGAAAGTGCTTCTGACCTAATGGAGTATTTATAACTACTGTTTTCTTCCGAATATAATAAAATAAGAATTCAGAGCTAAGAACTGTATATTGTTAAGTTTTAGACTTTTAGGGAATGATATGATATGAATTGAGTGACAAGTCGGGAAAAGAGTGCAAAAGGTCCAAATAGTTTAGGATTAATGTTTTTAAAAGGCCATTTTTAAGTTTGAATCCCACTTTCTTATTTCCTCTTTTAATGTTTGTCATCAGATTGAGAGATAATCTTCACTTGTTATTCTTTTCTATAATAAAGTATGTAATAATATGCCGTCTTGTTATCCACATTTCACTTCTAATTCTTCAGACATATCGTAGTTATTTCATCCAAGACCATTAATACGAGACAGTTACTGTAATTCGTTAAGAATGTGGTAGTTTTAAAATCCAAAGATTTTTTTTTGGATTACTGTATACGAGCCTATGAATCAATCAATCAATTATCTTTTTTTTTTTTTTTTTTTGTGTCAATTGACTTTGGGCTCCCCGTCTCAAAATCACCGATGTGGGATTCTTTGTACTAACACCTTTCCTCAAGCCCAATAAGCTATTTAGCCCATTCGGATTGTACAACACAACATAATTTACAAAATATATTTCCGGGTCAGTATACAAACCCGCATACACAGGTCCATAGTTATCACAGGTCCACAGATCGTGGGTTCTGATACCATGTTAAAGGCCCATATAAGCCCACATGTGCTTCCTATGAATCAATCAATCAATTACTCTCTCTCTCTCTCTCTCTCTCTCTCTCTCTCTCTCTTTTCCTGAAATGAGATAACCATTTTCTGAGAAAATATTGTATGGAGCTGCTATACCACGTAGGATTGTGCAGGCAGACACAATAAGTGGAGTAAAATATTAATTTTTGGGGAAAGTTATAAATTCAACGGGGTGTTAACAACAAAATAGGAAGAGTATTAACAACAAAAAAAGGGAATACTAGCACTTGATGCACTAAAAAAGAGGATATACTTGTTGTATGGAATAATTTTTCTTCTCACTTGGGTGGTTGTTGAAAAAGGATTGTTAGGGGACCTTTTGAAATTTCAGAAACATTTTAAGTTAATTTTATTGACAACAAATTAGCATTTATTGTACCAGTTTTTGCAACCAAAATTTAATCAAATGAGAAAATGAGAAAATTATTCCATACAATATGTGTATCCCCTTTTTTAGTGTATCAAGTACTAACATCCATCTATTTTGTTGTTAACACTCCCCTTATTTTGTTTAGAGACTCTGCCTTCGGAAGTTTTGCTACATTATCAAATACTCTCTCCGTCCCATAATTATTTTCCAGTTTGAGTTTTTATTTTTAGTTTAAATTGTACTAAAAGTGAAATATTAAATTGGACAATAATTTTGGGACAGAGGGAATAGTAATGCCGGAAATGGTGATAGTCAACGCAAGATATGGGAGTTTTTGACCAAAAATAATTAAGGAAAGAAGGAGTGGCCAAAAAAATGTAGTTTGTAATAAATATGCCACGAAGACATGTGGACCTCTTGGATTGAACCTTTGTGAACCTTTTCTTTGATCTTTAGGCTCTTATTAGCCAATTGCATTTTATGTACGGAGGAAACACGTCTTTGCTGAGTTAAGCCCTTTTTCACATTGGATTTAATTAATACTTCAGCTTGTACATTATTCAAACTTGATACTGCTCCATCAAGGTTAGAAGCATAAGTATAAGATTACAAGCAACATTACTACATTAGAGGTCATAATTTTGCCTTATTAACTTAAACAAAATCATGTTTGAGTATTTTTTAATTTTCTTAATTTTTTTTCATTGCTTATTTCTCAATTTTCATTATTTTCCAGGCAAAATTAATACATGAGAAAAGGCTGAAGTTAATTGCGGAAAGATTACCAAAGCTGTGAAGCGTATCAAATTTAACTTCTTTAAGAAGAAAAAAACCACAAACAAAATCCGTATGAAGGTAGACATACCCTCGACGATTTCTGGAAAATTGAGATGGTAGAGGACTTGATAATGTTTGTGTAAATATTTACACAAAATAGGGTGTAGTCAAAATAATAATGCAGAAAAATGGAATTACTAAAAGAAAAAAAAACAAAATCTACAATATATAAAGTGATTACTGAACTCTTCTCGAAAACATTGTCAGATTCAAAATTCATAGGAAAAAATGTCGTTCTTACTCAAAGCTTTGCCCTCGTCGTTAATCATACTCAATAGATTTTCGGTTAGCTAACTTTATTCTAATGTTTGAAATTTTTGTCAATTTCGTCCAATTGGCCCGTTTTCCGTTTAAATTAACGGATCTCCGTTAGTTTTATAATAAAATAATAAATTTAAATACGAAAACATCCAGTAATTTTTTAAAATTTTAAAAATAACTCCTACAATATATAAAAATAACAAAATAGTCCCTTTTCATTTTTCTCTCAACTAATTTTAATAACCATAGAAGTATATTATATAAGTTTTAAAAGAATATTTATTTATCTTCAAACTCTGCCGTAAAAATTAATTTTTGTATAGTTGTAACACATGATTGTATTTATATAAGCATGTTAATCTTTTTAATAATATAGTTTAGCAATAAAGACATTATTTTTATAATTTATTTTATTCTTCGTAACATAAAAATTAAAAACATTTAAATGAAACTAATATTCTACATAAAAATAAAATATTAGCTCAAATAAAAAATAATATATTAGTATAGTTTAGTGTATTACAATTTAATTAGAGAGACTACATGACATAATATAATTTATAAAAAAAATGTTTATACTTATCAATGCGAGGATTTAACATTTTATAATAATTATTTGAGATATTAATATATCTTACTATAGAAGAAGTCTTACTAGCTTATTCTATATGATTTTAGTTTAAAATAAATGAATGGAGGTAACAATATAGTAATAAATTGTTGTGATAGAAAATAGATTTCAGATTCAAGAAGGAAAACTTATGTTTGGAGGAATTTTTTAAGGTTTTAAATATTTTATATTTTAGTGATTTTTTTGAATTATATTAATGCAAGTTATAGTCTCTTGACTTAAATTGTAATCTACTAAAATATATCAATATTTTTTTATTTAAGCTAATATTTTATTTTTATGTGGAATATTAGTTTCATTTAAATGTTTTTAATCTTTATATTAGCTGGCCAAAGTATTTAAAGTTGCTCCATGCCCATGGCGAGATTCGAACCCTCGACTTATGGTTAAGGGTGGAGGAATCCCTTCCATTCCACTATAACTACTTTGGTTAATATTGAATAAATTTAGTTCAGATCCCGTGCTAGAAAACTAGAAAGCCCGCAGAGATCAAGAGGCGGTCTAACGGCCCAAGCCCATCAGCCAAACCCGGAAGAAGTTTTCTACTGTATAAAAATAACCGACCCGGAAGTGTGCCTATAAATACCACTGCCGATCAAAGTTATTCGCAATTCCAAATCAAAATACATAATTCCGCCATTCTTGCTCAGGCAATATTCTTCGTGGTAATCTAAAACCTGGAGAGTGCAGACAGTAGACCTGCAATTTGAGTCATTCGATAAACAAAAATGGACCCTTCGATCATGAAACTCCTCGAAGAAGACGAGGTAAAACATCAGGAGGAAACAAGTCCAAACTTATACGGCATGTTCTAGTGAACAAAGATGTTTTTGTTTTTTTTTTTTTTTTTTGTTGAAGAATTGATGATTTAGACGATTGACGAATTCTCAATTGTTCATCAATTTCAGGATGAGACGATGCATTCTGGGACTGATGTGGAGGCTTTCGCGGCTGCCCTAAACAGGGATATTGGACGCCATACTTCGTCTGATTCTGACAGTAGTATGATATTCTTCCTGGCTAGTAATTTTTTTTTTTTTTTTGTGACTATGAATGTTAAATTTCGGTAACATTCGTGCAAAGTAGAGAAAAAATTTCATTACAAGAGAAGTAGGTCTTCATGAACTATGACACAATTTGGATTATGATAAAGGTGTAAGCTTGATTAAATTAACCAGGTTATAATTGTTTAAAGGTGCCAGCTTGATTAAATTAACGAGGTTAAAAGAATTTACTTGAGTCAACCTGTTGAGCCCTTGTTGCTTGGATTTCTCAAGTGTAAAACCATGCTTTCAGAATATTTTCCAAGTATATGGGACTTTCTGAATGAATTTTAGAAGTAATTTTGTTCTACGTGCGAACTGTTACAGAGATTAACTGCAATGGTTGAGTAATTGATTATGTTTTTAAGGAGGAATTAAGGGAAGAACTTGTTTGGAAAACCATGTTTGTTTGTGTCGCATCCTTTTCTCAGCTGTAGGACCGTGTTTGTGGTTTGATTAGATTTTGCTGATGAGGATTTATTAATGTCCATTAGTTAATGTAAATGTAGTTGCATTGTCTCAAGGAAGTAGTCATGTTACCAACCAGGTTCCTCCACGGTGGCAAACTCCACAGAGTCAGCAAAATCCCAATGGGATACGAAAACATGTGCCCTTATCAGCTAAAGCAAACTTCAAGCAACAAACATCGGGACCTGAGAATCAGAAACAACTGTATAGCTCCCACAAGAAGGAGAGCATCTCTTCTTTCCAGCAAAAATCATGCCCGGATAGTTTCCACCCCCCGAAATTTGAACAAAATGCGATCCCTATATCTCAAACACATGATTTAGAAATAAATAACCACGGTTATACCAGGACTCAAATGTCAAAGCATCAAGGTCAACTTGTGGGGTTAGAGACAGAAAACAGTCCGCAGGTTCCCTTGCTAGCAATGCATAATCAACGAGCTGTGTCTACCAGAAAAAGTAATCAACAACAGGTTGCTGCAGGCTGTGGTAATCAACAGGCGACTACTGCAGAGAATCGTGGACCGACAGTTCCTTGGAACCTTTTTCTACGTGTCTTACTGCCTCAGCTTAATGAATTCCAAGCTGAGCAGCTTAACACTCTACAAATTAGATTCAGGGTGGGTTGCGGTTGTTAATTTCTCAGTTAAGCTTTTTTGTATTTATTTGCATGATGTTAACTTTATTGTTTTCGTTCCTATGTCAGAAAAGTGAAATTTCTAAGGATGTATTTGTTCAGCAAGTGAAAGATATTGTGGGGCTGAAGATGTACTCAACCACTCTCAGTCAATTGCAGCCACAGGTGAGTGGGAAAAAGTAGTCTTTTCTGCAACTGTTATCCAAAGTTCATTACTTCATCTAAGCTTGTTGTGTATTTCTTGTGGGCTATGGAGTTTTAAAACATAGTTGTCTTAACACTTTAAATGCGGTATGATCTGGTGCTGTATATTTGAGAAGTGGCTTTTGCAGTTTGGAAGTATTTTGATATCTTTGTTTTTTTTTGCTATGGAAAATGCTCTTATCATGAGTATTGAATTAAACTCGGTGACTACAATTAGGGCAGTAAATAGATTCAAGAAGCCATGTTCTCTGACAGAGAATGGTACGGGGACGCTCTGAGGCATTGGCTTCACTTACTTTAGATCCCTCCAATTTTCTTCTTTGCTTCTCTGTATATGTTACTAGTTTACTAATCTTCTGTTGTAAGGTTTCTTGCCTCCATCAAAGTACTTACATTTAAATTCTGGTTGATGCTGATGTAGGCTGCTCAACATACGCAGAATGTACTTCGCCGACCTCCATCACAGCCACAGGCTTCAATTCAGCCGCAAAATTTTCCAACGCCATCCTCTGGTACCAATCTTTTTTTTTTTTTGAAGGGATCAATAATGGTTCCTCTGGTGCCAAACTTTTCATGAGTCTCAGCTGTTTATGTTACCTGGTCTCTTCAACTGATTAAAATTTCATTGATTGCAGCAGCTCAAATCTTGACCAATTCAAGCAATCAGGTATCTGATGATCATACATTAGAGTCACACGTTGTAGATCTCCATGGGGCTGCATTGAGCCACGTATCTAATTCGAGTTCTGTTGCTAATCAACAGAGGGAGCATCCTAGTTTTCCATCGCAGAATTTCAATAAGCCGCAGCCGCAACCACAGGCACAGCACATGCACTTTTCAAAAGTCTCATTTTCAACATCTGGCAATGCTGGGGGCATTCAACATCGACAGCATTCTAAAATTAATGCTAATATTTCTGTATCACCTTTCAATCAGATAATTCATGACTCGCAAACGAGACCTATTCCAGCTCATCAAGCCGGGAACATATCTCAAGTAGGAATAACTTCCGAAGGTGTTAACCCAAAGTTTGACAGGCAGAACTCTTTCATTGACCAAAAGAGATTACCAAATGCAACTCTTACTCCAATGATAAGCAATTCAGGGCGGCCCCAGAGTTCAGTTCACTTGCAATCAACCTTAACTAAAGACCAGAAAACTGGGCATGTTAAGCAGAAAGCACCGGATCAGTCAAATGAGATACTCAAATCATATATTCCTGCTTCTCCAGGGTTACTTTCCTTTTCTTCAGCACATATTGACAAACAAGAGGCCAAAAATGAGTTTGAAGTGCAATCTGCTAGAGTGGGCTACACAAATCCTGCTAGCAGGTTGTCATCAAGTTCAGTGTCATCCACAATGCCAAATCAGATAAAAGCCAGCAATGTGGTAAGTTTTCAGGATCTGTTACCCCATCTGGTAGCTATTTGCACAAAGTGTTTTTATTTTGCAATTGAAGATAAACCCATCTGTTACCCTTTTACTTTTACATCATTCTAAGGATGCTGGAGTTCTGCGTGGGAAATAAGGAATGAATGATTTTTTATTTATTTTTTTTGGTGGATGGGCTTTGGTCTAGTTTATTATATGTTGGGACGTTAGGGCATAGAATTACATAATTAACCTTGAAAATAGAGTAAACAGGTCTTGTAGAAATCTGTAAAATTGTTAACAGATGGAACTTTGTATTCCTTTTTGTATGTGGAAGAACTTTCTTAATTTTGTGTTATAATGCCACCAGAAAAGATTGGTTGAGATTTAGTAGGGATGTGAATGCTGAGAAGTTAGTTGCCCTTCCCAAGGGAGCACAAACTCTGATCCAATTTTATTTTCTTTTAAAAGAAAAGAAAGATTGAAATACAAAAAGTTGTGTCAGATTCATTCAGATAAAATTTGGATCTCATGTTTTCAAATTTTCACATTTACATCTTGTTTCTTCATCTATTATCCTTGTAAAGGCTGCATTTCACTTTATAGTCTTAAAGATTGCACTGGCATTCATATTAACGTGTCTTTATGTACTTCCTTTTTTCTGTCCCTTTCTACCAGGGAAACTCCAACATTCCTTCTGCTGCCCCAGCAACCTCTTTTATTGGGATTGGAAACAATGACCAGGTTCCTGCCAAAAAGACAACAGTCGGCCAAAAGAAGCCGTTGGACGCACTTGTATCCTCACCACCTCCAACAAGGTGATATGACTGAGAGTGATATAGTGTCATTCTAGTATTCTATAAATGCTGAAGCAAATTCCATTTCTTCTAAAAGGTTAACATTACTCTACAAGTTCTTCAACAACTATGTGCATGTCTTTCAGCAAAAAGCAAAAGGTATCTGAGGCTTCTGATAAAAGTGTTGAAGAACTCAATGATGTTACTGCTGTCAGTGGGGTGGATCTCAGGGTAATTAATGTCTTCACCATACTAAGAGGGAAACAACAAAGCTTTTTTTTGAGCACTTTTATAGTTCTCAACTCTTGATTCCAGTATTCTTATTTTCAATGTATGAAATAGGAAGAAGAGGAACAACTATTCTCTGGCCCGAAACAAGATAGTCGTGTATCCGAAGCATCTCGATGTGTTGTGCAAGATAAGTTAATTCTGGAGAAAGTTCCACTTCTGCAAAGACTTTTGAAAATCGGTAAAATCTTTTCTTTGTTTTTGTCGATTTTTCTGCATGCTTCTTTCTTGCCAAAGTCCAATTTTAAATGTAAAGGATTGAACTCCTCTGGTACTGATTATTATCTCGGTGGCAGTGTCAAAATTTGGATTAAAGGGCATCGGCAGTGATGTGGAGCAATGCTTATCTCTGGTGAGATTTAAGTTAGCTTTATTTTACTTGCATTTTATGTTCATTTTTATAACTACATGTTCTCTGTTTCAGTGTGTGGAAGAGAGAATGCGTGGGTTGATAGATAACCTTATTAGATTGTCAAAGCAGGTTAATTTGGATACTACTTTCTTGCCGTTCTAGTTCTGAAAAAATGATCAATGAGATCAAAGTAACCAATTGCTCTAATGGACTATAATTTGCTTTACAGAGGTTGGATGTTCAGAAGCCTAGACACAAAACCATTGTAAACTCAGATGTTCGCCAGCAAATTATGCTTATAAACCGAAAGGCTCAGGATGAGTGGGAGAAGAAACAAGCGGAAGCAGCAAGGCTCCAAATGCTGAATGAGGTGAAGTATTCTTGCTAATACGAAAAAAATTAATAAATATAAGAATCACTCTATAGATTTCCGCAATTACATTATACTAGAACAGTTGGTTCTATAGAAGTTTTGTGACTTTAAATGTGCCTTCCAGCGTGCGGCAAACCCTGTGGTTGATGGCGAGAAGGAGAAGGACGATCGTCGTGTAAAACCAGTAAAGGTACCCCAACTTTTTTGATTTGTAGATATGCTTCTCTTCAAGTACCATTCCTAGCTAACTGTAACTTGCAGGTCCCGAACAACGACGAAGATGACAGGATGCGCACAACGGCGGCAAATGTTGCTGCTCGAGCTGCTCTGGGAGGAGATGACATGCTTAGTAAGTGGAAACTGATGGCTGAGAAAAACAAGCAAAAGCGTGCATTAGTAGCTGATGCAGCATCTGGTTCAAAGCCAGGAAAAGATATGGGAAGAAAGCTGATCCCATCAAAATGTTTAAGAGACAGCCAGGAAGCAGAAAAAAGAGGCCAACTTCCTCTTGATCCCACTTCGGGTATTGCTCACTCTTACTTATCAGTTAGCATTGTTGAAGGTCATTCAAGTTGCTGCATGTTCTCACGCCAACAGAGGCCTTCCATTTTAACTTACTGATTGGAGAGTTGATAGTGATATGTTGATTGGGTTTTAGGCTATACTTTGCATCTTTTTACTACTTAACCAAGGTCATCCAACTTGCATATACTTTAGACTATAAACAATATTGGGCAAAACTCAGTTCTCAGACTGCCCTTTTTCTTTTCTATCTGTCTGCATGATGCTATCAGTGGACAGTATCCATCGTTTCAACTAAAGTTGCAAGAGTACCTCGCCTGTCATTTCCATCGAACAAATAAGTGATTATTTCGAAGAAAAGAGGATTAATGGATAGTAAAAATCAGGTTTGCTGGATAGAAAAGAAAAGAGGATTAACGATGGTGCCCACATTAACCCAAAAGTAGAATGTCAGGTTTGCTGGATTTCATTCTCATATGTATTGCAGATTGTAACTATTTCTCCTCCTTTTCTGAACTTGGCAGGAGCAAGTAAAAACGGAGGAAGAAATCAAGTTCACTTACATTCTAAGGTGGCACGAACAATCTCAGTTAAGGATGTGATTACCGCCTTAGAAAGGGAGCCTCAAATGTCGAAATCAACTCTTATGTATAGGCTATATGAAAAAATAGGAAGTTAGGGAGTTCAATGTACCATGCCATATCATTCTTATGTAGGCTCCCATATTTTTGTTCTGGAGCTTTTGTAGATAGATATAAAATTACTCTTCTTTTCTTTTGGTGTTCCATTCTCTTATTTGATGAATATATTGTACATTACCAGTTGATAGTTTTATGTTCAATTTTGCTAGAGAGCAGCAGTATTGCTAAACTGTAAATGTTAAGCTTCAATCCAAAAGCCCGGAAACCCATCACCACTGCTTTCTTTAATGGATTCTATCAATGCTTCCATATTTAATTTTTTTGAGATAATTTTAAACAAACATGACAATATTACCATCTGCTGAATGTGATTTTGGGAGTTAATTTCACTTATTTGGACTGTTCCAATCGGCCTAGTAGGTCAAGAAACTGACTTGCAAGATTATGTTTGTAACTTTTCATCGTGCACTTTGAATGAATTTCAAAGCATTTTACTTTTTTGCATGTCAAAAGATTGGTAGAACAATTGCAAGAGAGATGGCTGTTAACGTGATTTTTGGGATATGATTAGATATTGGAGATTTGATTTTTATTTATTAATTATGAAATTTGATCATACTGGAAAGGAGCATATTTTGTTTGTAGACATAGACCTATTCATGGATTGAAATAAACACACAACTTTCCTCAATCCTCTCAATCTAGTCTTTGCTGAAACTTTCAGTAATAACTTGTATATTTTTCTTAGGCAACAATGATCATGATCTGCAACCATGATCATGATCATGATAGTATATTTTTCTTGTTATTTTTGAAATTTATAGTACTATTACTCAAACTAGTAATCTTAGTATAATATTATAATTTTACTTACACATTATTTGAAAATGAAAAAGGTGACTTGAAAAATGTTCCTGCTAAAGAAAAAACAGCTACAGTATAAGATAATGAAGAAGAGACAGAATAAAAATTCCGTCTCTCATTCTCCAGTTTGAACTTTCATGTTTTAGGTTCTGTTTGATAATCACTTAATATAATGACTTAATTTATTTAAGTACTTAATGAAATTAATTGTGTTTGATAATTACTATTAAAAGGTCTTAATGAATTAAATTCCGAACTAATTCAGTACTTATAAATTAAGTGCGTTTGATAACTAAAATTTCACTGTCTGAATTAATTAAGTGCGTTTGAATGGCCAGTTCAATTATGAGCCAGTAAATAAGTGATAGACCTATCACTTATCATTTATCACTTAATTTCTGTCATGACTCTTTATTTTTTCTTTTTTTCCTTTTTTTTCCTCGTCTTTATTTTGTCACTTATTTTTACATTATTTAAAAATTTTTATTTTCTTAAGATAAATTAATTAAGAGTTCTTAAAATTGAATTTATATTATGAGTATAAAAGATCTCAAACTTTCAAACTCAAATTAAACTAATTTTAATACATAAAATTTGCTAAATAACAAGGTATACACATATATGTAATAATCTAAATTTAATTATATATTGATTATTTACCAAGTGTAACATTTACTTTTATTGTATATACCAAAAACTTATTTTAAAATTATTATTTTATTATTTAGAACAAAATATTAGTTACTTTTCTATTTAAAAGAATTTTGTTTATAATTCAATTTTAATGATATTAATATTTTAAATAACTTTCAGACATGAGTATTCAGACTTCAGTCTTCAGACATCATATTCAGACGTTTTTATCAAACAATGTAAATTCAATCTTCAGACTTCAGTGTTAAGTATTAAGTGTTTAGATTCAGACTTCAGTGATTATCAAACGAAGCCTTATAATTTAAAGTGTACTAAAACTAAAAACCTAAACTAAACAATAATTTTACAAGATAACACTAGAGTATGAGAGATTACATGGAAAACAAAAGGTAAGAAAATATGAACCCAAACCTACGGGGTTAATTTTTGTAAGGTGAAAACAGCAATTGTTTTTGTGCGGCCAAATTGCTTATAGGCCTCTAAAATTTTGACAACAATCCTCTGTTCTTATTCCTTAACACAAAACACAGCAAATTGACCCAAAAAAAAAAAAGTGTTCTCTCCAATCTTCGTATGAAATTAGAAAGACAGCGGAATCCATTAAACTTCTCCTCAACGCCATGAAAAGATTCAAAACTTCAATTTTCAACATGATAAATACCATTGTCCTTCCCACCCCCTTCCCAACCTATCACCGAAGTAAATACAATTTGGCTTAAGTCCACATTTTTGAGCCTCTTTGGTTGGAATACAAATTGCAACATTGTCGCCAACAAATACAACATCCCCTCCTAAAGTAGTCAATTCCTCCCAATCACGTTTCCTTATATCCAATCGATATATCGTGAATTTATTAGTAGCATAGTTTCTGCCACATTCCTCACCCTCCTGCGAGGAATAAATTCTAATATTCCGGCCTATGGCTAGCAAATCTCCGCCGCCTCCGAAGATGACGACGATTCGACTAAATATACATCTTTATATGAAAGTAAGGATCTACCCTGAGGGATGGCCCGTAGATGGTATGACGGATTACCATCCCAGATCCATGTATCGCCCAGGGAATTGATTGCGCAGAACTCTCCATTGTGGCGGCAATTCAGATCCATGAATGCAACCTGACGGGTTTCTATTCGGGTCCAGGCTGTGTTTCCAGGCCTCCAAAATCCCAGAAACCTTTCACCACTGTGAATGAGCATTAACGTAAAAAATCCGATGTCCTGGATGGGTTCTCTGACAATATTGCTTTATTTATAAACAAACAAACTGGATCAGTTTCGTAGTGTTCATAATCAGGGAAAGTTTGTAAACTGGGGAGTTCAATCTGTGCATGAGAGAAAGGGTTAAACAGAGCGATATCATCTCCCAAGTTTGATTGAGTAAGAAACCATCCGAATCTAGCTCCTATACAACGTTTACCCTTGATTTCTGGGAGGGATAACCTCATCACAACTTTTCTCTTCGTCTTGTAGAAGTCGCGTAAATCTTTGCTGTTTTCTTCTTCTTCTTTCTTCTCTGCCAGCATAAGTAATGGAACTGTCGTCCCGGAAGGGGTGAATTTATCCTTGGTGGCGACGGCTCGCCAACAAGTACATACACCTCTGAATGCCATGAAATCTTCCACATACGAAAGACGTCTGGATATTTCCGTCAACAGATCCGGCATAAATGGCGACCAATCGATCAATTCCATATATATGGCCAAAAGGATCCGTGGACACAAAAAGGCTAAGAATAAAAAGTGTTAATGGAGGAAAGTTGAAGAAGGGGATTTGGATCGGTGAGTGATAAAGAAAAAGATTAGGTGGAACAGTTACATATTTATAGGTAGAGCATAAGATTTTTGATTTTATGAGGTTGGAGATTTATTTGAGGAGGAAATCTTCTAAGATTGTGCACCTACATAAATTAGGCAACATTGTGCTAACAAATTACAAGAGTCATGATATTATTGATACTGATACCAATAATTCGCGGATTACTTATTCTCCCAATTTGGACTAGTATTCTTATTCTAATAATCTAATTCAATCGATGCAACCCCGAATGAAGCTCAGGAAATTATCTCTGTCTTAATTCCGCTTATGGCTTCTTTTCAATCTTGTCAACTGATTAGTTACTAGACATGATGTTTTGGAATTACATAACTTAGTTTATAATAGGATGCAAGGTAATAGTTTAGGTATCTCTTAACTAATATATATATCTTTTACAAAATAAATAAATGAATAAATAAATAAATCTAGAGGCGTGTTAAAGGCCACCAGAAAAAAGATAAAGACCGCCGTAAAAAAAATAATTTTACCCTTTTCATTTGGATATAGACCGCATGGTAAAAGATATAGACTGCCGTAAAAAATACCATTCCACCCATTTTATTTTTTCAGTCCAAAATGAATGATTCAAAGGTAAGAAAAAAAATAATTAGACTTGTAGAATTTCAGACCGAAATAGGCCGAGCCGGCAGAAATACCGTCCGAAATAGGCCGGGACGACGGTCGTGTCGTCCCGACTTAGCCTAGACAGCATTTCTGCCGGTTTCTAGAACCAGGGACGGTAGGGCCGTCGACCAATAGGGCCGGCAGTGATGGCGGCCATGACTAACACGACCGCCGCCCAGAGCGTCCAAATCAGCATGGGACGTCAGGGCTGCCGTCCCTTACTATGCTAGACCGGCTCGCTTATCTCGGGCCGGTGTGCCCGGCGGCCCGTGTATTTTTTTTTTTTTTTAAATTTCAGTTTTATTAATTTATTTAGTTAATTTATCGTGTTTTATTAATTATCACATCATAATTAAATTGAATAGGATTCATTTAGGTTATTTATTCATGCAAATCTATTATTTTATGCCATTTTAAGTTTTTTGTTTATTTAGTAAGAGTAATTAGGTATTCTATCAATAAGTTATTTAGAGTATATGTTTGGAATTTGCAAGATACAGCTGAAAACGAAGATCATAGTGTTTCTTTTGAAACTAATGAGATATTCCAATCAGAGGATGACGTTATTTTACGCGCACAAGAGATTGCAATCAGTAATGGTTTTGAATTATTGAGAGAATCGCAGAAGGACAACGGGTATTTGTTAAAATGCAAGAAAGGTGGACGTACAGGCCAGAGAGTTACATAGATGGAACCACTAAGCGCCGACCAAATTCAAAGACCCAAGTGACTGGGTGTAAATTTGAGGTGTTTATCAGAAGATATAAAGAATGACCGAGCCATGGGTACAGAATCTATCCAAAGATCGGTGAAAAGGCGGAACACAATCATCCGATGATACAATATCCAGAGGGTCATCGCCAGATGAGTAAGCTGAGCGAGGGAGTAAAAAAGATGATAGAAGACATGTCTGCGGCGGGAGTAAGGCCGATTTACAATCTAAAGGCACTTCAAAAGGAGTATCCAGATGACCATGTTACGAAGCGCCAAATTTACAACTACAGAAATAAACTATGCAAGATGAGATGCGTGGTACTTGATGGCACGGGTCTTGATGTTGCTAACAGGACTTTTCAGTTGGCCGAGGAACACAACTACATAATTGTGACGGAGTCAGATCCGAGTACAATGGCCTTGACCCGAGTTTTCATGGTGCATCCTGAATCAATGAGGTTGTATAGAGCGTACCACTTGATCGTCGGTATGGATAGCACGTATAGAACCAACAGGTACAAAATGCTTTTTTTTTTGAATTTATCGGGATGACAGAGTGCAACAAGAACTTTTTGATTGCCTATGTTCTGTTGGAATCTGAGACTGCTGAGAGCTATCGATGGGCGTTGTTACAGTTGGGGCTATTACTTGGAGATAAAGAGCAGCCAAAGGTTTTATTCAGTGATCGAGAGTCAGGGTTAATGGCACCAATCAGTGATGTTTTTCCTGAGCCTACCCACTTGTTGTGCACATGGCACATCCACAAAGATGTGAGAACCAAAATCCAGACTCTCTATGGCGGCACTTCAGTATTTCATAAAAAGTTCAGGGAAGGAAGGTGGTAAAAAATTATGGAAGTTACAACTGTGGAAGCATATGAAGAACTAGTCAGAACCATGGAGCAACTGTAAGTCCTAATAAGTTTTTTTTGAATAATTCTGTTTTTTTTTGAAGTAGAATATCTGGTTATTAGTAAGATTAAGTACTTTCTTGGTATTGCAGTTATAGTCCTTATAAGGACCTACTTACATATGTGAAAGAAACATGGTTACTGCACAAAGAGAAGTTTGTATGTGCGTGGACGAATAAAAAGTTGCACCTTGGGAACATGACAACATGCAGAGTTGAGAGTGCACATTCGGCGCTAAAGAATAGGATCGACTCACCAACAGGTGCTATTGACACGATTTGGGGAAAGGCGCACAATGCGATTGAGGTGCAACTAATTGAAATCAAGTACGTAAAGCCTTAGTTTAATATTCATGTGCGTATCTTTAAGTTTTTTGGGTGATAATATATTTTTTCTTGATTTTTTTATCACTCAAGAGAACATTAGAAGAATCGCGAAACAAGAATAGAATACTATTCCGTGGTTATCCATTTTATTACCTCAATTCTGTTGTTTCGCACCATTGTTTGCAAAAGATGCACAAGGAGTATGAAGAGATGCAGACAAAGGGAGACAAGTTTGTATGTGATCATAAGCTGAGATATTCCTTGTGGCCGTGAGATGAAGGTGACAGTGGACGCGGGTCTGGCGATTCAGGTTTCTGATCTCAACCCGTTTTGGGCTAATCTCAATATCGATGAGAGTCCCATCAATACTAGGCCTGATGGACTGTCAGATGATCAAGTCTTGTGGAAATATTTGGTTGGCATGGTCAAGAATGGAGATCCATTGGTTATGCGTAGGGCGAATGGTTGGCTCTATGATCAAATTTACCCAGATAGAGGGCCTTCAAACCAACCGGATAAGAAGAAGAAAGGCAAGGGGCGCCCGAAAGGAAACAAGAACAAGCCATGTGAACAAGTCTATACTCAAATGGGATTTTCGGCAACCTGATGGGCCTCCTCAAGGTAAGAACCCTTTATTAATATTTTTTATGATTTTTTTATGTCGAACACTATATATTGTTTATTAATATTTGGTAATGTATTTTTCACAGTATAGATGTGGTGCAGCAAAACATTTACGAATATGTTGTCCTAGAGAGGATTGTGCCTTGTATGATTCCCTACATTAATGGATATGTTGATGTGCTGGGTGATGGAAACTGTGGATTCCGCGTTGTGGCGAGCCATTTGTTTGGATCTGAGCATCAATGGCATAATGCTAGAAGAATTGGCGCAAATGAGCTAGAGAAACGTTCAGATTTGTACGATTTCTTCTTCGAAAGGGACATTCCCAAGCATGTTCACCACATACGATGGTATGAGAGTCCTTGTTCTGAAGATCATTACATGATTACTTTTATGGACTTGCTGATGTATGCCATTCGCTTCAACATGGTTATCTTCTTGTACAGGCATGGAGTAAGAAGTCAGAATATGAATACATCATCGAGCACTATATTGCCCCTCATCGCTCCCAGGGGCTCTAATGGGCCTTTAACCGGACCTGTTCGGGAGATTACCATTGCTCACCTAGGCGATTACAAGCATTACATTCGGCTAGATTTTGTGGGTTCAGATTTTCTAGTTCTGTCCATACCTTATCAATGGTTCTGCTACCGTGACACTTTTGTTATGGGTTGGGAGCATCCATATCTTAAGAGAATAGATCTTTGGCACACTTTATGTCCTGATAATAGACGGACACAATCCTCTCAGTCTTATCCCTTTAATGTTGAGTAGAGTACCATGTATCTATGGATTGGTGTATTTGAGATTGTCGCATAACTATTATTATCTTTAGCACAATGTCATTCAATTTGTTTGCAGTTATATATTTTAGTTGTAATGTACGAACAAGTAAAAAAATATAATTAAAAAACACAATCACAGGTCACAAATACAACAATGTCTAAGTTGAAATTCAAACATAATTAAACAAATACTAATAAACATGGTCCGAATTAAAAAACAAGGCAAAGCAAAAGACATTAGCGCGCCTGGCTCCAGCGAACAATGAGATCATCATACTCCTTCTGTAATAATTGTTATGTCTAGCAGCGTGGTCGGACCACTGATCTGTCCACTACATTATCGTAGAAGCAAACAAGAATAATTGTTATATAATAGCATTTAATATAAACTTAATCAGGAGAGATATTAAACAACTTACGTATTGAACACTTGAGCGAGATGGAATAGAGTTGACTATCGAAGAACCCTTATTCTCGGGCAGAAGCTTAGGATGGGAAATAATGGTAGAACCAGTAGAGATAATCATCAGCACATGCTGCCTTCGTCGAACGAGTGTACGAGCTGAGAATAAGGCATCCTGACTGAGGGAATCTAAGCCAAGCATTACCCGCATACACTTCTGAAAACTCAACCTTGTAGTTGTTGCCACTCATCGCCCTCAATGCAAGTTGCGGGACAACAGTTGGCATAGGAATTATCTGCACATAACCAAGCTGTCGAAGCATGCGATCTGGCATGTATGGCTCAACAAAATTCCTGAAAGCGAGCCATCCAGTGAAAATCGTTTTAGGCACCATCTTGTACATCTCTTTACCGAATGGCTCCCACACCACCTACAAAATAAAAAAATTATTTATACATATTAATAAATAATTAATAAAAATTAAGAAACAAAAAAACAAGAAAATCAGAACAATTAAACTTACATCATCCGGGGATAAGCTGTCAAGGTCCTTCCGTAACTTCTTCAATCGCACCTCTCCCTCTACAGCAGTATACGCGGCTGGTTTCGATTGTGCAGCTCTAGATCCATTGCCCACCTGGTGTGGGTTATGAGGCCGGAATATCGAGAAATACCCATATATCCAGGCTAACAATAGGGTCAAACATCCCCCCATCTGCTTGACACCACCTATACTAGTAACCCCTAACTGGCGGTAAAGGTATGCTAGAGTCACAGATGCCCAGAAACGACTTGAAACACCATCAAGGTCATCAAAAAGCTCGTGCAGCAACTGTGCATGTATTCTACCACCCCCACTCTTGTCAACAAACAATGTGGTACTCATCATCATCCACATCCAAGCAGTGGCCTGTACCTCTGGGTTTGTGCTACCGCGGACTTGGTCCATGACAAATGATTCTAACATAGCACCACTCTTATAGTTTGGGGGTTTTATACCTTCCGCAGATATGTTCAAAAGACCTATACAGTAGTTCTTCACTGTTTCTCACTTGGGAACGGCTGTCACCATCTCTCCCTCCATAGGGATGGACAAAATGCACTGGACATCATGAAACAGGATGGTCATCTCACCATGCTTGTGGAACGAATTCGTGTCTGGCTGCCATCGCTCCACGAACGCACATGCTAGGCCGATATCATTATGCGAGAACATCAGTCCTGGAAGATGAGACAACTTAGTCACCTGAACCAACAGCCTCGCACTGTCAAAACTTGAGAATTTCTTCCAGTCTGTCAACATCTGACAAACAGCGGATCTGTTCTGTAACTTGAGAAAACCTCGGTCCGTACCCGGCCCGGCATTTTCCAGATAAAAAAAAAATCAAAAATTTCATATTCCAAAATTAAAAAGTTCAACGATTTGAGAAAATTTACTCGTTCCAGTGGATGTTTCCCGCAACGTTGATTTCCTCCGGCCATCGATTTGAAATCTAGGAAGATTGCAGATTGAAGATTAGAGTGTTTGAGGTTGAAAATTAGAGTGCAGGGTAAAAATTGGAAGATTGGAGTGTAGAGTTTAAAATTGGGCAAAAGTGTAGGGTTTTAAAATTGTGTATCGTACGATACGTATCCAAATCAAAGATTTCGATACGTATCATAGTATGCATCGCAATTATTTGTGTATCGGTCAATTACCGATATGTATTGTATGATACACACGATACACGATACGATTGTGTATCGTACGATATACGAATATAGGCAAAAAATAATTTTTTTCTTAAAATAATTCAAAATGTTGTTTCATAATGACCATTTAAATTTTAAATTAAGAGCGAATTTTATTTACAATTTGTTTTAAATAAAAAATGCTTTTGATTTATTTTATTCACAAACATAATCTTCCTCAAGTGACTAAAATTCATTAATAAATTAGTCTAGTTCAAAAAATAAAATAATTAAAGACATTATTTTACTCATAATATCATTTTCTAAATCATTTATAACTAATAGCATGTTGAATAAATGCGATACATGTTTCTATTAATTTTCTCACTATTAAATTTAATGGTTATAATAACAACTATTGTGAAAAATAATATTTATTACATAGGTTTTACGACCATTATTCCTGTAATGAATGAGTAATTTGTGTAACTTTCAAATAATTATAAATTCAACGTAATCTTTATAACTGAAAATTAAAAAAATCTATATAAATATATCAATTACATATAGAATTTATGATATTTATTATTTATTTTATGCATATTACAATATTAAAACGTATCTTACGATACGATACACGATATTATACGCGTATCATAATTTTAGGTTTCTGATACATAATACGTAAATCGATTTAATAACTATGGTGTAGGAGTTTAAAATTTGAATTTGAAATTTAAAATATCAGAGCAAAAGTAGAAGTCAACTCTTGGACAATGGCGAACTTTATTCATTTCATGGCGGGCTTTAAACTTTCAGTAAATGTAATCCAATCAAAATTTATCTTTAGTGAACAAAAGAAAACCCGCACAAACTACTTTTCCTAAGTTGTCTGAAGGTTCTTTTTCAATCAAAACCATTGAACAGAAAAGAAATAAATCTAGCACGTAAGAGTCTAAAATTGTGAGAGACCCCTCTCTCCCAAAACAAGTAAAGCCAGACATCTCAACAAGCAACAGCAGTAGTACCTTCAAGATTCAAGCTTGTCTCTTTGCATCTTTGGGTCTCCATCTCGATTCACCAACAGAAACTTGGGTAGCTAACTGCAAAGGGCTTCCACTATAAACTTGAATGCCCCTCACAAGTTTAATAGTAGCACTAGGAAGATACAAGCCATCCCTTCCATTTAGATCTTTTCTAACCTCCCTGTTTGAAGATCAAAGTTCTGTATTCTTCACAATAGTATCCAGAAATATAAATACCTTCTTATACAAGTCAGCTGTTCCTCTTCTGGAAGTGGGTGGATATAGAACCCCAGAGATGGATGAGTTTGTGAAAGAAATTAAACACCCTTGCAAACATGTCAAGATTCTTCAGAGTCACACTTTCAATAATTCTTTCTCTGGTGGTAGTCCAATGAATTATTCTGAAGACATTGTAAACGACATTCAAAGGAGTGAGTACAAACTATTGACAGTGAACCTATGAGAAGTTACGAAACGTGGGGACAAAAGCCAAGAAAGCTAGAAAAGATGAAATTTGGATACATCCACACAAACACGCAAGATTTGCAAAGCGACAAGAAAATAAGAAGATGCTCCTTGGTTGAGGACATACACACAGAGACAAGATATATATAGACACACACATGGAGAGAGATAATGAAGAGAAGAAAATGAGGGAGTAAACTTAATTTGATATTTCAATAGTATTGATAACAACCCGCTCATCTGTGTAATGTCTTTTAAACATATTTTCATACTCCTAATTTTTAAAATATTGTAGAAAGAGTGAGAATTACTCACAAGTATCATTATGAACTTCTTTCTCGAGATAGACTTCTCCTGCAATGTATCAAGTAACCCTGTGCCGTTAATAGAATACTATTACCAATGCAATATTATTTTATCTTTCTTAGGATCTTACTAATAACTGATTTAGTCCAACTTTTAATCTCTTTGCATATGCTATTTAGTATATAGTACAATAGACTACTTTTATGTCGGATTTTGCCATTGTTCCTTATTATTATTTTTTTTATCCTAGGCGAAAGCTTGTAAGCCCTAAATGATTTCAACCATATATACTTACTTATCATTGGAAAGGAATACCGAAAGAATATTAAAAAAGTCCAATATAAGAATCATTGTCTGTATTAGTTTTTGTGCTGTTTTTCAATTAGGTCATGTTTTGTCGGTTAAAATGTAATAATGTAGGATTAATCATTGTGTGAATTTTATATTATTAGAAACCTCTGAAAGTCTAGTTTACTATGCAACAAACAGTTCTTTATGCAACAAACAGTTCTTTAATCGGATATTTCTATAGTAAGCTACGTCCAATTTGCCAAGACTGCGTTTTGCTGAAGACAAACTTTTCTGTCGGGTTTACAGTTTCAATCAAAATTTGCAGTGCTACTGGTTTCCTACAAGTACCATAATAGTTCTAAAAGTATACTCGGCATGCACTAAGAAAAGGTTGGCTCATTTGAGAACTTTATATTGAATTCGTGAGACAGAAGTCGACAAGAACAAGAACACAATATCTTGAAAAGCATAAAGCAAAATCAGAGTGTAATACAATGCTAAAAGTGGGGAGACCCCCTACGGCTATGCCAAATCATCTTCTTATTAATGATACTTCGAAATAATTTCTATCATGATGCAATCTGCAAACATGCAATCTTCTTAAGCGACATTTCTTTTACCCACATTATAAAGATCACTACGTCGTCTTCTCACACTCGCCTCTTCGCTTTAGAGGCCTAAACAAGTTGAATAACTGTGGATAAGATGTTTCCATTTCCATTTTGTTGATTCTTTTGTGATACCTTAGCAAGATAATAACTATGGATTGGTATTTGGTAATAATTGAATGCACCGATATATCTATCCATGAAACTCTAATATAACGCCCGGACTTCAGAGTGCTTAAATTCAAAAATTGTTTTTATCTTCTTCTCAAGCACATCTCTACACTCACTCATCGAGATGCATCCTCAAAGATGCTTTTACATCTAAATATTTAATGTAACCAAGCCTTTTCAACCAATTTCCATCAATTCTAGCTTAATGCCAAACTAAAACTCTGAATTGCATCCTAATATTACTTCTTTTTTTTTTTATATTAGAGATTTTTATAAGAGTAATATTTTAAATTTGATTACTTTTTTATTATATTAGAGATTTTCATAAGAGTAATATTTTTACTTCATCCAACATTTCTAAATTAAAATAATATAAAATTTGCGCAAAAAAGTATAATCTTTTAAATATAATTCATTTTATTTTAAGAAATTAAATTTTAATTTTTTATTATTTTAATATCTGATTTAAAATCTTAATTTTTTTAATTTCAATTAATTTAATATTTATAATAGTATTTTATTCGATATAAAAAATTTTCCAAAAATAAAAAATTTTATTCCAAAACTACCCCTGTTAACTTGATACTAAATCTGGTCAAAGTCTATGAATAGTGTCAAATGACAAAAAAAGTTACATTCTAAAATATAGAGGACCATTTTACCTAAATATTAATGTGAAGGACCAAAATATGTATTTAACATAATATAAAGAACTATTTTCAGAATTTAGTCTTCTTATAATGATTTTACATTCTCATACACAAGACACAAGAGATGATGCAATCTTTTCTTATCTTGCTTTTCTATTTTATATGATGGCCTACAGAAAAAATTGTTTTCAACAAAAAAAGAAAGCCAATGCAGAACGAGCACTGAGAAGTTATTTAGGACTTGTTTGGCTAACATTTTGTTTTAGTTTTTGATTTAGGTTTGAGATTTGATTTAAAATGTGGTTTAAGATAAAATTTAAAATGTTGTTTGGGTAATATTTTAAATAAAATAATAATATTTTTATACAACCACCGGACCACCTCCACCACCGGCGCCGCCGCCAGACCGCCCACCACCGCTGCCGGCCGGTGACCGGTCGCCGCTGGTGGCATGGGACAGTCCGGCGGTGGCACCGATGGTAGAGGTGGTCTGGTGGTGGTGGACGAAAATTGTGTAAAAATAATTTTTGGAATATTTTTTAAAAGCTAAATTAAAAAGTTGTTTGGATAGTATTGAGATTAGTGTTTGAAAGGTATTTTAAAAGGTAAAATGAGACAACAATGCAAAATAAGTGTTTGACAAACAAGACATTAACTCTCTCCAATGAGAGAGAAGTAAATCTGGTGGTAAGTAATCCAAATTTCTATGCCACCTTACTGTTAGTCCAAGTAAATTTGGGGTGGTATATGCTCAGATACCAA